TCTAGGGTTGCCACCTTTTCAGGCTTTACATAAAGTATTTCTCGACTAAAAGGTTAAAAAAAAAGTACTCAGCATAAAAATAAAGTATTTTATTTTTTGTTTTTAAAAACATATTTTTTATTACACCTAGCAGCCAGTAACAAATTGCTGTCACTCTTAAATATATTAATAGCCTCTAAACATAGCAAACAAAGATTTAACTAAACTAAAAGTCCATTTTTAATTAGTTTTAATGAAGCTTTATTCCTGTCGTTCCGCCACTTTGTGTTCATAACTCTTTCTGTTAATGCTGAAGTGGCCGAAACGGACAACAAAAGTGACACTACTTTGATCAGATTTGAGAAATCAGGTTGTTCCGTAAATATGGCTTGCCATTTTTCTGTGCAATATTATTGGTGTAAAAATACTCTGAATTTCGAATAATCGGTTACAAAATTACGATGTTTACTTAAGGCCTTAAATGAAGTATTTTTGCGTACTTTATATGTCTTGTAAAATACAACGTACGCACAGTCGAAATAGAGTACCTACAATACTTTATAATAAAATACGGGTGGCAACTCTAGGTGCATTTGAAGAGATACGCGGTTTCTGAAGCGAAATATTTAGGACATTATTTAGAAAAAAGTACGACAAAATTTACGTGACCTATTCTGATTAACTAATAGATCAAGTGTATTCTTTTTAAGATGCATTATATAAAACAATAAATACAAACATTAGATGTATTATTTAGATATAAATAGCTTCCACGGAATTTAATTTTAAAGAAGTATGATATGTGTGTCAGCCAATATTTTTCTTTCTCAGTTTTTGGGTTAATATAAATTTTTCTATTTAATTACATTTAATTAACACAGGAACATTCCCATTGTTTTTATATGAGTTAATGCTTTACTTTTTCTATTTTATTCTAGAATGCTCTCGAATACTGTCGAATGTTCTGAACTGTTCTAGAAATTTATAGCCCTTATATCTTCAAAACCACGCTTTTCAGGTAAAAACGGAAACCTTCTTCATAGACGGGAGATGAAGGGTTATCACACCATATAACTCCCTTATTCGCACCACCACTCATTTCTTAGTTTTAGCGGCACGCACATTACACCCTTTCTTTTATAATGTATATTGATTATTATTCAATAAACGACGAGTACGTTATTATTAAACATATGGTTTACCTTCTTTAGGGCATTGGAGTTTTATTATCCTGTTGAACTTTAAGTCAAACTCTGCTACTTTACTGAATTTGATAAAAATCATGACATCCTTTTTCCTAGGCAAAGGGTTCACATTGGGTGAAAATCGAATATGATTTACTAAAACCTCCAAAAGAAACAAGCCCTCCATTTGCGCCATTTATTTCTTGCGTTTAACTAAAATTTCTCCCCAACAAACTTATATTGTCTACATTAGTGCGCAATTAATTTTTGACAATAACGATTCTTTATTTGACAACCAACAACAGGAAAAAAGCAAAGCAGCCGTGATTTATAAAATACCCCTTTTATTACACCAGCTACTTGGCCCGACTTCACTTTAGTGGGAATATTGGCTAAAGTAGTGTCGTCGTCAGTATAAGTAATTTCTAAGAAACTTAATAGAAACTTACTACATACCGTAGACAATTATTTACCTGTCAATCAGTTATTTATATTACCGTAGATTTATCTGCTTTTTTCAAATCTCTTGTCTTCACGTCGGATGCTGTTTACCTATTTATATATTTGTGGAATATTTCTGATTTTTGCGGAAACTTTTTGTAAGTTCCCTTCTTTCCTATATGATCACTAGAGTTCGGAATATATGCACTAAAAAATAGCAAATACATATATGCATGCAAATATGCTTTAAAAATCGTCAAAATATTCATTATTATACGCATTTATATGCATTTAAATTTTAAATAAAACACAACGAAATTCTGTTAACACTTGTATTTGTTTAAATTACAATAGCATAACTTACAAGAAAAACTAACGAACGTTATCTTCAGACTTACTATAACAATATAAAACTAAATGTTTTTCTAAATTATCCATATTAAAATTATGTCGCCTATCTGATAAAAAATGTTTGTAAACAGAAAACGTTCTTTCCACTTCGCAAGAAGTCACAGGTGCATATTCAAGATATCGTAAAAAATTAAGCGGAATTTCTGGATTTTCGTCGTTGTATGCCCTTCTAAAATGCTGTTTATGTTAATTAATTGCTTAAAACCCGAATTTTTATCGAGTACAAAACTAAATTTATTTTTAATTTTATGTTAATTAATTGCTTAAAACCCGAATTTTTATCGAGTACAAAACTAAACTTATTTTTAATTTTACATGCTTTAGAAAAACAAGAACCAATTTTTTCTTTAGCAGAAATAAAAACATCTATACTTTCGCTTAGCGACAGACCTCTAGTTTCTAGTTTTTCGATACATTTTGAAAGAAAAACAAAATTACTTTCGATATACGCTAATTCATTTTTTACATGAGGATTATTTAAAATATTTTTGCATTTGTTAATAGCCGTACTGTCGGAAGAAACAAATTCTTCAATGACAGTTGTTATTCTTTCAAAATTATTATTTTAAATGCATATGCATTATTCAAAAATCTTCGAAATATGCTTGCATATATATTATATGTATTTTGCATATAATCCGAACTCTAATTGATCACAGCTACTGACTTTCGGGCCTATGACAGCTACCTACCACTAATTTAAGTCGCTTGCACATTCATTCGCAACAGCACCTACCTAAGAAACATTTTTCTTTTTTTTATTAACTAATTTACAACGAATACAACAAAAACAATTATATTACAAATTTATTCCTTCTGAAACTACGTTAAACAGGGTGCCTTACCGTTAAACGTAATTTAAAGCAATAAAAATTTTTTTGGAATGTTTTTTTTTAATGCTGCAGACAAAGATCAGTCCTTAACTCGTTGGGCACGCATCTCCACTCTTTCGTATCCTGAGCTAAGAGATGGTGTTGATGATGGTGAAATTGCTTTAATACGATACATAAATAAACAATAAAAATACATAGAGACTACATACAATTTTTCTTGTTAATACATTAAATAACTTAATTTTCCCTTTCTTAGTTTTGTTGGATTTCGATTTTTTTTTCATTCTCGTTTTTTGATGATTCCTTTATTTCTTATTCATCCAGCATTTCTCGCATCTTTCTACTTGTGATATTGTTGAACTCTTTCGCGCTTCATTCTTAAATTATATAATTTTTTATCAAATAAAACAATGGTAAAAAACTTGATTAATCTGAACAGTAGTTGAATTACACTTACCAATTATAGCGGTCCTAATATTTCAACGTTCTTTCGTAAATTTCATCTCGGTTCAAAACTGCTTAAGTCTACTTTCGATGCCATTACTTAATATATATTTCGAACAATGGAACTTTTCTTTTTATTAGCCTTCGATAGGGCTAGAGTTAAATCATTCAGGCAAATCAAGACTTTTGTACCGGGATGAAGCTCTATCTGTGTTTTATCGCGAAGCTGGGCCCAAAAGTAATTAATTGTTGAAAATAAAACAATGAAGGTGTTAAACGAGCTTTAACTTTTCTGTTTATAAAATACGGAAAAACAAGACATCTATTCTACTACATGTTACTCTTACTACTGACTGGTGCTATTATAGTATGTTTTTTGGCGCGGCGCTGTTTAAGGGCTCTTTCGGTTCTTTTTTAATGTGGTGCTAGTTTGGAGCTGTTTTAGAGTTTCAAATGGTAGTATTTTGGCTATAATTTTAGAATTTAAATTTTCATCTAATATGTAGGAACTATTTCGGTAGTAATTTAGGTCATTTCCGATATTTGGAGGCGATTCGGTACTGTTATAGTCCTTTTTATTTTTACTCGGGAAGCAATGTTTGCGCTCGTTGCAAATGATAAGGATGCCGCAATTGTTCCTTTAAAATTTCCCACACTATCACATGAGAGGAGCCAAAATTTCCTACATTTCGCGTGTACTATTTTGAGGTTGTCTTCTATAAAATCAAGGATTTCGTCCTCTATAGCGGCGATATGGTTTAAACCTGGGTTAAAACATACGATGTCAGAATGGAGTTTTTTAAAAACACTGTTTTAACACATTTATTTGGTTCGATTTTCAGGAACCTTTATTACACTTGATATTTTAACAATTAAACACAATGCTGACAAATGAAGAAACTAACATAGGTTTGACCTTTAAAGTAGACTGTTAAATGAATTAGAAAATGTATGAGCTTATATACTAATTAGAGATGTCATAGCCGGCGGTATGATCCATAGCTAGGGGCAAAGGTCGCTGGATGAACTCTTCCTCCGTTAGGACAAAAGACGTCCCCGTCTTCAAACGACTAGAGAGCAGAGGGGTGCTAGAGATGTTTTCAATTCCTTGAAATCTTTACCATATTCTTTATTCACTCGGTCTCGGTTCTTCTTAAGCAGAACGGACTTTATCTGTCCCTTGAGACACAAGGTGGCGATTAATGTAGTCAATATCACGAACGAGAGGGTTAGTGATGGCAGCATGTGAAGCGAAGGTCAACTGAATTTTATCTTTCGATTAAAAGTAATCAAAATATTTAAAATTTATTTTTAATGAACACAAACTACAAGCAACATATACATCCAAATTTACAATAATATCTAGCATAACATTCAGTTCTTGCAGTCCTATTTATTATTGGTCTTATCAAAAAATTTAAAATTTGTTTTTAATGAACACAAACTACAAGCAACATATACATCCAAATTTACAATAATATCTAGCATAACATTCAGTTCTTGCAGTCCTATTTATTATTGGTCTTATCAAAATAGATACATATTATCATGTCTTAGATATACAATGCATACAATAAGTATACCATGTAATGTGTACGAGGGTATTTCAAGAATATAATTACTGCTGCAGATGGACTTTGGTCTGTTTTTCTTCTGCAGTCTGCAGCAGTATTACTATGTCTCGGTAGTCTTGAGGATAGTTGCAGAGTTTGAGAACCATTTATTTTGGAGTCTCTCATGGTTAATTAGATAGAAACCATCGTTGTAGTCCTTGTTATTTGTATATGATTGGTTGGTAGTGGTCATCAATAAGGTTTCGTTTTGTAGTCTTCATTTCTTCGTAATGATGTATAATAAATGGTAGGAGACTTGAACAAATCTGTGACATTGCCTCAATTTGTTTAGCAGAAAAGTATTAGAGATTATTCACTGCAGTACAATCGCTATACCATAAGGTAAAGATTTCGTATTAAGGGTTTTATTAAAGGCTATTTTTGTTTAATTTGAATATTATAAGAGAATTAATTATACATGGTATAATATCATGTAACAAAACAATGGTTTATTTATTGAATTTCGATCAATTTAATGGTTCTTCTTTATCTGTAGATGAAAATGATTTCATAATTTGGAATATTTTTGCGGGCAAAAGAGATTGATCTCTTCAAAGGTTGCAAATAGTTCAACTTGCAGTTCAATTTATTTCTTTTTAAAGAGTATCCGTAGCAGCATTAAACGCATGAATGACTCATCACAATTTTCTTGAACACTGTTAATTAAATATTAGAGATGTGCCGAGCAAATAGCACTTTTCATGACAGTGTAAAGTTAAGAAAGGCAGTAAAGCAACGATAATGGAAAATACGAGGGTACTACCGAAATTTTCGGATAAAGGGTAATATTGTCTGGTCTCGACTTGTGTCAGGTTGAGCAGAAGGGTGATCAGGAATATCTTTGTCATTCTGCAAGAAAACGTCTTATATTACTCTTCTAATGTTACGAAGTGGTATTTTTCTAATTTTTGTTTGTCCTGTTAGTAATCATTCAACTCTGTCATTATTTTGGTTAATTTTGGACGTTCTTTGAAATTTAGGGGCCATTTTAGATTTGTCAAAAGTTTTGGTATAAATTTCTCTAGGTAGACAGAAATGGATTCACTTTGTTGGTTAATTTTGTCTAACGCGTTTTGGTTTCTGTCTAAATTTCGATTTTTTACTTTTTCATACAATACGGATAGTTATATTATTTAGTTTTATTATTTATGTAGTTACCTACTGGGGTTGTTGAACTCTTGGAGTTCCAAGTCTGTTTTGTCTTTATGAGGTCCATGAATTATTTCAAAAGGCCTTTTGGTGGTAAATTGAATTGAATTGTTGTACATGAAGATAGATTGTATCATCAGGGTTGGTTTGTTTCAAAATTGTTAATTTTTCCCTTTAATATGCCCTGAATTCTTTCAAACGGGCTGATAGTAGTTGGATTGCCGGTGCTGGTGCAGTATAAGTCAATGTGGTAAAGTTTACAGAAATCTTTGGGATGGAGGTTGTTAAATTCTGTCCCCATGTCAACTAAAATTTTGCCGGGAGATTATAATGGTTAATAAAATGTCTAAATTTATCAACAAATCCATCATAATGATCTCAAAGGGTTTTGAAGACACCATGGGTCCTCTATAGGGTGGCTTGTAA